TTCTTGTCTCATCATTTGATTAGAAATATTGATCCCAATGCTTCATTTATAAGTTGTAAGCACATCTCTCGATTGATTGATGCTGACTAAATCACACATTCTTGTTGACATTTGTGATCTCTAGATGGACTTGCTTGACGTATTTTCTTGCTAGGGAAAGCACACACGCAAATCCGCACATTCTCTGCTATAAATAATGGGTTTCTATAGGAAAGCGATAGTATTTAACACTTTTTCAACCATGATGCATTTGTTTTCATGGAATGTGATGCTAAAACAATGTAGGCATAAAATGTAGTCCAGTGAACATAGTTAACTGGGTTGTGATTTTATCACATGCCTATCAAGAAATTACAGTCCAGATTTCTTTAATCTTATGTAGTCCAGCATTGTGTTTTCCCGTAAAGCAGGACTTAGTATTCGTGTGAGTCAAATATTTTGATTTGTTGAATTGATCTAGATTTGCATCTCATTTATGATTCCGAGAAAGTCCAGAGAATGGAGATATTTCACCTGCAAGTCCTTTATTGAAAAACTTGGTGAGATTACTTTCTCCAGTTTGGAACCAATGACCGCCAATTCAGAATACTGTGTGGTAGATTGATCTTGTTCTTTTCAGGCTGTGTGCCTCGGTTGGTTTTAAAAATGATGGGCACAATCATATGACTAATTTCTGCATTTTGTATTTGCATAATCTAAGAAGCTGAACATGTCTCACCATCCTGATCCCTGTGATATAATCATAGAAACATCCCGTAACATGCTTACATACCATGTTACAGTGGAAGTTAACTTTGTAGGACCATTGTGGTCGATACTGTATCTGAAATCCTTATTTTAATCAGCTTCTCGAACTGTCTTTCAGAGACGATCAGCTTACCATGTATGTCTACTGAATTCTGACTGATATTTTAATTGGTTTCTTATTTTTTGTATTTGTGGCGAAAGAACGGGATTTTCAGATTCCGTATCTCAGGACTGCACCGTGCTCCTTAATGCACGTGTAAATCAGCAGGAATTTATTTTTACAGCTTCCAATAATATTTTAATTGATTATCCTGACTCCATAACATCTTGTCCCCATGGTGTATTTAGTTCATGCATGATGCATCTACTTAGATAATTCTTGCACAGCATCTTATTTTATGGTTTTCCCCTTTCCCTGAGTTGCTTGTTATTGATGTCAGGTTTGGTAGCTGCATTCTGTTGTTTGTACCAGTGATTCAATTGGTGTGACTTTCTCATTTATATCAAATCATGCGTTCGTGGTGGGGGAAGTCTTCTAAAAACATAAAAAAGAAATCGAATGTGGAAAGTATCATCTTTTCACTGCACAGGAGTTGCATTAGGCCCAGGGTTTTGAAAAGACAACATAATGATTCTTTTTCAGAAAAGGAAGAAGCTCAATCCCGCGCAAATCCCCTTTCTCAATTGTCTTCCAAACACGTGTCGTGCAGTCATAGTTCTGGTCAAAGCCATGAGGCCCAGCCACTTCCTCTTCCTGGTACCTATTTTGCTTTTAGGAAGGAACCATCTCTTGATGGGGGTCCCAGAAACAATCCATCCCCTTGCCATCTGAAATCTGGACATGTAACAACCAAGACCCGTGCTGTGGTTGGTGAAGGGGACATGGCTTCTCCTTCCAACTCTAGTGAGACATCGAGTGATACTGATGATCCATGTGACTCGCGTCTCATAAGCCCTCATGAATCTGATTATGAGAATGGAATGAGATCCTACACAACCAGTCCATGCGGGTGAGTGTGCCTCCACAAAACTTATCACTTATTTATTTATTATTAATGATTAACCGATCCTTACTGGAGTGTGTACATATATTTTTCTACATATGTCGAAATTGATGTAGGTTGAAACATTCGAGAGAGATGGCGAAGCCAGCTAATAGTTTGTTGAACTATCAGACTAGCCCCATATCACCTAAACAGAGGCATGTGAATTGTAAAGATCGTCCACAGGCTCATCAGGGTGTTACAAAAAATGCTCCAGACACTCCAGTTTCAAGTCCTCCTAGAAGTCCAACAAGGATTTTTGGTCATGAACTAGCCACGGAGTATGGTTTCTGGCCAGGAAAGCAGCATGCAGACATAGCTTTACAAGGATCTGGACAGTGCTCGAGCCCAGGTTCCGGTTACAACTCAGGAAACAATTCCATTACAGAGGATATGCCATGTCAGCTCCTTTGGCCACATTGCAGGTGTAGTCCTGAGTGTTCTCCATTGCCTAGCCCCCGAATGATGAGCCCCGGACCTGGCTCAAGGATACACAGCGGTGGGGTCTCACCTCTGCATCCTCGTGCGGGGGGGACCACATCTGAGCCTTCTGCAGCTTGGTCTGATAATAGCAGGCAACAGAGCCACCCATTGCCTCTACCTCCAGTGCAATCTGGTACTCCTCCATTTGTTCCATCGTGTTCGCCTTCGCCAGTTACATCACCCAGGATTCCCCGAAGTCCTGTTAGGACTGACAATCCTTTAAGCCCCACATCATGCTGGAAAAAAGGACGAGCACTTGGAAGAGGAACATTTGGACAAGTTTATTTGGGTTTTAATAGGTGCGTCAGTAAGTAGGTTTTTTATGTTTATACATTACGTTTCCTCCTATAGTATAATATAGCATTAGCCATTACAATTGGATCCCAATACACATGTAGTAGCTTTACCTTCTGTATTTTTGAAACTTCTGACTGCATCTTTCTTGATTGCATTTTGATGTCATTGGTAGACCAGTGAAACAAAACAAAAGGAACTTTATAATTGGCATTTGCTGTCTGTACCTCCTTGTGATCTTACTTAGTCATTGTACTTGGTCTGCAGTGAAAGTGGTGAGATGTGTGCCATGAAGGAGGTTACATTATTCTCTGATGATGCTAAGTCAAAAGAAAGTGCACAGCAACTGGGACAGGTGAGTGTTTGTTAAGTCATATCTCTATTCAGTTAGGGGCAAACCGGCAAAGGTTTTTGTTGGAGCTTTTATTTTACAGAGTTCTGAAAATTATATTTTCTACAAACTGCATAAAGAGAGATAGGGGCAAAGGTTTTTTAACTGGTTTCTTGTTTTAAAATCATGTTCTCTATTCTTAACCGTCTCATCTCTTTGTAACTTCAACTGCTATCATTCTTGTAGGAAGTTGCACTTTTAAGTCGTCTACATCATCCAAATATTGTGCAATATTATGGATCTGATATGGTAAGTGTTATGCATTCATTTTCGAGATTCTAGTTTTATTTTATTAGCGGAAATATCTTTTAGTTGGAAAGAAATATTTTGCATGGTTGCTTGTATATTCTCCATATTAAGTTCCATAGTATGCTATTGTGATGTATTCTGCTTGGAATATAAAAGTTTGATTTTATTCATGGATTTGTTTTTCTTGCTCTCGGTTCTTGGATGGTGATGTGAAGCATTTTGTAGAAAACATTTCTTATCAGTAGCAAGTTTTTTTCGTGTTTCCTTATATTTCTCTCTCTCTCTCTCCTTCTTCTTCAATTCATCATTTCCTTGTTGAATGAAGATGAATAAAGGATATTACTGGTTCTCAGGTTTTGGTGCAAGGTCCAAGTTCCATTAAACATTGCTGGTTTTATTCTGTCTGCAGGTAGATGACAAACTATATATATACCTTGAATATGTATCTGGTGGTTCGATTCACAAAATTTTGCAAGATTATGGGCAGTTGGGTGAAGCAGCAATCAGAAGTTATACCCAACAGATTTTATCTGGGCTGGCTTATTTGCATGCCAAAAATACAGTTCATAGGTGGGTAATTTACAAGCGATAGATTCTGTTCTGGTGTCCTGTGTTTCATCTTTCATGTTCAACTCTTAATTTAATTTTGGACTCGAGAGTTTATGATGTTGTAGAATACACATTTATTAATTGGGCACTCTATCTGTTCAGGGATATCAAAGGAGCAAATATTCTTGTGGATCCCAATGGGAGGGTAAAAGTAGCTGATTTTGGGATGGCAAAACACGTGAGTTTCTCTTAAATAATTTATGACATCCACTGTGACTATGAAACTGCTTGCATAACATTTTGTTGATTTTAGTATGAAATGGCTATATCGTGGATGACTTGAACATATGTTATCTTATCGGTATTTGTGTATCCAAAGAACAGAAAGTCTTGCCTAAATGCAGTTGATGTAGACAGCTAGAAGGTGGTGGTTTAGTTTTCACCGTATATTACAAGGGAACTGAAAACAGTACAAAATTAATATTCAGTCGAGAATTTATGCTGTTGGTAACCATTGTGTTAGTCTAATCTAAAACAAATTTCTACATTTCGTAGATAACTGGGCAATCATGTCCATTGTCTTTCAAGGGAAGCCCATACTGGATGGCACCTGAGGTTGGTCAAAGCTAAAATCTCATTTCCTATTTCCGCTCTTTTAGGCTAATCTTAACAAAAGCCTGATATTGCCTACGTATATCCATTTAGGTCATAACTAACTCAAGCAGTTGTAACCTTGCGGTGGATATATGGAGCCTTGGGTGCACTGTTTTGGAGATGGCCACCGCAAAACCACCTTGGAGTCAGTATGAAGGGGTTAGTTTGATGTCCTTATATTATCATGTAATCTGTTTGTTATATGAATATCATTGTGATTTGTTTTGGGTGTTTCTCGAAAGGTTGCTGCCATGTTCAAGGTTGGAAACAGCAAGGAACTGCCCAATATTCCAGACCACCTATCGGACGAAGGCAAGGATTTCGTAATGAAATGCTTGCAGAGAAATCCTAGTCACCGACCAACATCCGCCCAGCTACTAGAGCATCCTTTTGTTAAAAACTGTAGCTCATTGGAAGGACCCGTTCTAGGTGCTGAGCATTTAGAATCCATTCCTGCACTTACACATGCTGTCAAAACACTGGTACGTATGCTGGTTCCGGGTTTCTTTTATCATTTTTTTTCCCGTTTTTTCTCACTGGTTGATAAAATTGCAATGTACCATCCAAATCAGGTTTCGAGTCTGTAACATTTTTTTCTGATCATTGATATCTCTCTTAGGCTTAACTGCTTACTAGATATCAGCAACGGTAATAATTTTTTTATGACATAAAGTTTGGAGACAATTTAATACTTTCATACCTTGATATTTAGTTTATATGGGCATATTGGTCATTGTCATTTTAAAAAGATAGTGTGCATTGGGTTGGCCACCTTTCCTTTTGAGCTAACTTCTGGGAACAAGTTAGACCTTGGTGCATTTATAAACTCTTCTTATTTTCCTATTATTTGTTATGACTTGTGATAGCTTTCTTAAAAGAGCATTTGAGGAAAATGTTTCTATATAGATGATAAGGTCGGGTTGAGCACGTGAATAATTACCTTCTTTAAGGGTGTGATCTTCAAGAAATTATGTTTCTTCTCTGAACAATTGACTGATATTGTGCCCTAACCATTTAAGTAACTTGATACACCCGTTTCAGGACTCTGGGCGCTCCAGAAGAATTTCTCACTATTTGGACTTTTCCGATGCTATCAATCACTCAAAAAGCCGGAAAGATTTTCGTGGATTTAGGTCTCTCTCTCTCTCATGCATGCATGTTACATATTAGTAGATCTCTCTCTCTCTCTCTCATGCCATTCTTGTGAGATGATGTATTGACTCAAAAATTTATTGTTGTATGAGAGATTATGCCTGGAAAAGAAAAGAGAAAAAAAAGGAGAGAGAAAAGAAAAGATTAACAAAAGAAAAGAAATATCATTTGCAGGTTCCCTTTATTATTTCACTCTCTTTCCATATGCTTCAAGATTTTCTTGGTTAGATCCTGCACGTCGCTTCCTTTGCTCACCAAGATTCATTCTCTATCGTTGTTTTCGTTTGCAGTGATGGCTACACCGTGAAAAACTATTCTGGTCCTCTTACTTCATCTGGAAACACTCTTTCGTACTCACCGCCACCTCAGCATATAAAGGGACGAGTGTATCCTTATCCATCTGGTGCTTCAACTCCGCCCGGTGGCAGTCCCAAGTTTATTGCTATTCCACCATACCATCCAAACACACCAGATCATTCACAAAAACCTAAAATACAGAAAGCTCATTCGTCCATAGAACAACTCACGCAAAATTGACATTTTTGAACAAGAGATCAAAAGGCTCGTCCCGCAGAAAGTATGGTTATACGACACTCATTTGATGTTATCCGACTGAGTGTCACAGCAGCTGTTTGGGAATCCAGGGAGACAAAGGCTGGGGCAAGAGCTAAACCGAGTCCTACCATGCCTAGTCGCAAGAATGAATTTTGAGGTGTATCGTATTTTTTCTTTGGAGGATGAGATATGCAGTGTCCATGATTAGTATCTATTTGTACAATTGTAAATGAAAGAAGCCAGTGCTCTGTTTCATTCTTTCGAATATTTTAGGTTGAAGAAGAGAGAGAGAGGAGCCATTATTTTTTGAAGGTAATACCATCTCTATATGAAGAGCACTTTCCCAGAAACCTAATTCGGGTCTATATTGTAATTTTTTTTCCTCCTTTGTTCAGCAAATATTGATCGAATTATCCTCTTTTTCCAGAGGACAACTTCCAGCTACTACTGACACCTTGCGTTGATTGGTGAGACAAAATGTATATTCTGTAGGCTTAGCTAACAGGTGAAAAAAATTAAGGCTGAAAAACATTGCATTGCTAATTGTTTTAGTGTTGAATTTTTCCTTTGGCTGCTGTCATCTCTATACAGTGTGTATAGTGATAGGCGAAGAAAGTTTTAGAGAGAGTGCCTGGGAGATGATGGGCACTTTATTGAAGTAGAGCTTGCTGGAAATAGGTTATGAAGTATAAAAAAGCTGAATTATAAAAAATTGTAATGGGCTGATTTGTTTGAATTATTTATTTATTTAAAAATAAACAAAAATAACTGGACAAAAATAAAAAAAAAAAAAAACAGGGTGGAAATAAATCAAACACACGTATTCTGAAAATACGTTTTTAATTATAAAACGTATTTTAAAAATACGTTTTAAAAGTAAACCGTATTCCTGAAATACGGTTTTAGTTAATATGATTAATTAAGATAATTACCTTGATGAAAAACGTATACCGCAAATACGTTTTTATTTATAAAAAATTAATACGTATTTCCGAAATACGTTTTATAATTAAAATTAATTGTATAATTACCGGGGCTCGGATTGAGTCTGAGACCGCTTTACCGGATTTCTAGGACAGGAAAGTTTTCGAGTTATAAAACGTATTTTCACAATACGTATTTTAAATGAAATGAATTTTTAGAATTTTGAAAATACAATTTTGATGGACAAAATAATATAAAACATAAAACGTATTTCCGAAATACGTTTTTTGTACAATTTTTCCCCCAAATTCAATTTTGCCCCAATTCAATTTTGCCCTAAATTGATTCATATATAAACGTATTCTGAAAATACGTTTTATAAACAAAAAAATATAAAACGTATTCCCAGAATACGTTTTAAACTGCAGAAAAAACAAAATTTTTGAATCCATTTGAAGAAACCAACCTGTTCAACCAACATACACATATCAATCAACGCAACATACACATATCAATCAACCCAACATACACATATCAATCAAC